GGAGTGGAAGGAGAGGAATTGAAAAATTTTAAAGATTGAAAAACTAAAAGAGAGGATTTTGGATAGCATGGTGGGTTGGATGATGACAAGAAAGGAGTGCTTGGGTTTTCTGCGGACTGATTTTCCGTTTGCTGTTTGGACTCCACTGCCTGTACATGTATTAAGCTTAATTTTGATGGAAGCTCTTTTGGTAATCTGGGCAATATGGGTGGGAAATGGGTCACAGAGACCCGTTAAACAGGTATGTCAACTTGACTCAGTCTGTGTCTATGTCCCATTTTTGGACCCGACAGGTTAGGTCTAGGTCCAAAAATGGGGAGCCGACACTTAGTCAAGTCTAGGCTAACCCGATCCGACCCACCCTGAAAATGTTATTTAGATTTTATTTTGTATTAACTATCATATATTAAATAAGATGAGGGAAAGTAGACTTAGGTGCAATTTGCAATGTAGACCTAATATATTAGGAGGGGAATTTCGATTCAAGTGGAAGGCTATAAAGGGTAAAGGGAATGCTCAAAAGGACATGGATGGAAGTATTGATAAGAGACATGGTTACTTACAATCTCCTTGATAGAACAAAATGAAATAAGGCTCAGATGATGGTGATGATATTAGATTATCTTTACTAACCACTCTTCCTCTTAGAACAAAATAAAATAAGGCTCAGATGATGATGATGATATTAGATTATCTTCACTAGCCACTCTTCCTTTTAGAGCATTACCCACGTACAATGCACAAGCAAGGTTAACCTCCCGCGTGTCATATTGACAATCAAATGTTGTACATTTCTAAGTTATATAAACATATTTCTTCCCACCATCTATCGATATGGGATATTTCTTTTTCCATGGAAATAGAGCCTACAATTAAAGGAGACGTTTTCATTAATAGCTCTCTCTTAAATTAAGAAAACTATCATCTATAAAATAAATGGTTTACAAAATAAAAATTTTATTTTTCTTTTTTAATTAGTTATATTCATTTTTATTTTTATAATTTACAAAAATAAAGTAGATATAACTAAGTTTGAATTACATATAAATATCAAAAAAAATTACGCATAATAAATTTATAAGAATTAATATAATTATATGAATTTTTTGTTATTTATGTTAATAACTCAATATAATTATGTTAAACTTATGTAATATGAAAATATTAAAATGACATTAATATTAAAAAAAATTAAAAAATTACACTTTCTATGCAACTTACCCCGAACCTAACTTTTTCCCCCACTTTTTTCCTCAAAATATACTTTCTATGCAAATACCCCCAACCAAATAAAAAAATACCTAAATTACCCTCCGTTACTTTTATCTTACCCATGCCTCTCTCTCCTCTAGCTCACCAAAATAGGGCCTCCGACACTATGTAAGTGTGGTCAGCAGTATCGACACTGTCTAAAGTGTGGTATGGCAATAGGGCTGTGGCACTATGTAAAGTGCGGTCTGAAAAGAGGGCTCCGGCGCTATGTAAAGTGTGGTCCAGTAGATGCAAAGGGCAGTTGGCCAATAGATGTTACTGAACTCCAAGGCCCTTTAGGGCAGTACTCAGTTTCGGTCCAGTAGTTGCCTTAGGGCAATCCGGCACTTATGCGCTCTGGCAATGTGATGGTGCGCTCCGGCAATGTGCGACTGGGATCCAAAAGTCAACATTCAATCTGGCCAAAATGATTTTTGTGTACGGGAAGGGCATTTTCATCTAAAAACTGAGCTTTTACCTTTGGGGGTATTTGCACATAAAGTTCGTTTTGGGGGAAAATGTGAGAGGAAAAGTTAGGCTGGGGGTAAGTTGCATAGAAAGTGTGGTCTTAGAGGTTTTTTGTAATTTTTTCTTAATATTATTATGTCAAATGAATATAATTACGTCAAAATTGTTAACTAACTATAATTATTTATCATAACTATGTTAAAATTGTTATTGCTATATTGAAATTTTTATTGTTATAAATACATTAAAATATCACATAATTTAATATATTAAATTGCTATGTTATTTAATAAATTATTATTGTTATATAGAATGTGACAACATTCTATCATTTACTTATTTTTAAGGTTAAATTTTGAAAAACCATATATACGAGGTAGAATTTAAAATTTTGAATCTTAATCATCATTGCCTAAAAAAATACACTTGTAAATATATCATCTATATATGTATTGAATGTTTGAAAGAAGTTTGAAGCATTCTCAAAGCTTTGTTACCTTTTTCTTCTTCTTTTTTTTTTTTTTTTTGTAGCTACTGTGCGTATTGCCAAGTGGCTTTTTTTTTTTTCTTTGAATTTTGGTATCTTTATTTTTCAATTTTTAGGGTAAAGTTTTTTGAAATATTTTAATTTCATAATATTAAAATTTATAGGTGGTTTTATTTTTATTTTATTATAATGTTATAATTAATAATTATATATTGATAATCAAATCTTGCATTTTATTTATTAATTTATCTGTATTATAAATTTTGTAATGCATTATTTTTTCTTATTGTTGTAAATAATATTTTTTTGAAGTCGATAATATTATAAGGCATTGTAGATTTGTTCTTATTTTTAAATAATGTTTTATTTTTTGAATTTGGTCAATGTTTAAAAAATCACCGATCTGTTTTTTTAAACATTGATGTAATGTATTATTTTTTCTTATAGTTGTCAATAATATATTTTAAATTAGATGATATTATCAGATACTTCATCCTTGATAATTCTATGATTATTCTTTTATGTGATGTAAATTTAATGGTTGACATAAGTTCATATAGGGAAAAAACATCTCAATATTTGCATATTGATGAAAAAATAAAAATTAATAATGTAGTACCTTGATTTTTTATTGGATTCCTAAAAAACAATATTTATAATTATTTTTAACATTTTTTTATTTTTTTTTATTGTCGAATCCGACCGATTTGACCTGTTCCCGATCTGAACTGCCGATTCACCGATCCGAATGGATTTTTGGGATGCTTGATCCAAACCACCAATCCGTTTTTCAAACCACTCCTGAACATTGTGGGATTAATCGTCTCTCCCTACTCTTCTTCTTTTATTTTATTCTTGCCCACCCATTTCTACTTACGGTAGATCTCTCTTTTGATTGTGATACTCTCTTATATGAGATCATGTTGTCCCATTTGTTATATTTATCTTTCGCTTTTGCCTAAGATATAAGAACTCGTAATAGCATATGGTCTTTAATAAAACAAAATGGTGGATCAAGATTCGTGTAGTCGATTCCAATTAGTTGGAAAAATATTTTGACGATAATGAAGATATTTTCAATAGTTTACGACTGAAGGTAACATTAAGTCTTACTTAAGAGAGAAAGAGCTACTATTAACCTGAGAGAGAGAAATTCACAACCAATCAGCAAGCCCCCAATTCTCTGTTTGATGCTTGAGTTCCTCCTGGTATTCAAATACCAGTACATCAATGTTCAATTCTTGTCAACTCTTGTTTGTAATATTTCGTCTTGTCAACTCTTGTTTGTAATATTTCGTCTTTATTCTCCATTTTCTCAGTACCTTTTCCTGCTCAAAAAACAAAACAAATAAAGAAAAGAAAATAATAATGAAATGACACATTTTGAAGGAATCGAACAGGTGAGACAATGCAACACAACAAAACGAGAGCCGTTATGGTGAGAGAGAAACCAGGTCGGATCGAGAGCCGTTTTGGAGAGAGAGAAACCGGGTCGGGCTTAGGTTCTTCACTGAAAACTAGATAAATATGGTCAGATTTAATAAGAAAATCTTAATGATCAGATTTAATAAGATAACCTTTCTTCTTTCGGGTTTTTCTAAACCAGATAAATAATCAGGTTTCATAAGATAAACCTTTTTTCTTTCAGGGTTTTAACCAATATTAAGAAACACGGCTTGGGGCCGGTCCCTGCCTGAGCCGTGGGTCGCCTTCTTGAAAATTTGACTGCGGTTAACCACCTTTCCTTCAATTGTTAACCATATCAAGTTGCAAGCAACCCATTTAGGTAGCTCCTTTGGCTACAGGCATGCTAGGGTCAAACCGATCCTTCACCCACTCCTCTAGAGAGCAATTATTTTGAATTCAAGGGGCCTCAACAAGGATAACCACCCTGAAATAGTCATCGCACATGATGCGCCTCAAATATCTGCAAAACTAGGGGTGGCTACAGGTCAGGTCGGTTCAGGTCCGCCCGGACCCAGGCCAGGACATATAGACCCCATCAGACCCGACTCAGAAATTAAAATATCTGCACATTAACAACATTTGAATATATTTCATATATTAGGACCTGAAAATATTACCAGACCCAGACCCAGACCCAGACCCGGATCAGGGGTAGTCCCGAGTCGGGTCCAGGTCCATTGCAATCCTATCAGAAAAACACCCTGGCAAAGGACCACGAAATCAATTCCCTTTTGAGGCATTGATCAGGGAGAAATATGAAGAACGAATCGATCTACTCTCTTAGGCATTTATTAGGGAGACGAAGAGATCGAATCCCTTGGGCATTCATTAGGGAGAGATGAAACAAATAATTATAACTCTATGTGGCCAAGCAAGAGGCTAAATTTTTTAAGAAAGAAAAGGGCAAAAAAAACAAACCTGATTTGCTCCACTCTTTCCTCTCTTTCCTTTTTCTTTTACCTCTCATTTATAGCCAATCAGCTTACGACCAGACCTATTAGGTGTGTAAAAGGTCAGTAAACCTAGCAGCGAAACGCTGCTCCGTAGGCATAATAAAGGAGCTTCACAGACCTAGCACATCCATAAAGTTTACCAATCCATTAGGTCTGCAGTGACGGCATTTTTGGGCGTTAGAAAGGCACAAAGAATGGGTATAATAAACAAGAAAGGTCAATTTGAAATTTTTTGTAATTTCCCTAAATATCATTCATAAAATTTAAGAGACTTTCTATTTTAGTTCTATTGATGCCCGTCATGCTTCATGCTATTTTTTTCATGAATTATTTACATTTGTCCTTCAATTTTTTGTAGTTCATATATCTAACAATAGTTCATATATCTAACAAAATCTAGTAAGTAAGCCAAAACTGTTGGCAGTCGTTTGCCAAGAGAAGTCCGAATCCTAAATCTGCAAACCATGGTCGATATTCAGGCATGTACACAAACTCGATGCTTCTAAAGCAGCAAAAAAGGAATCACCAAAATCCCAACTATGTATTTACAGTCCCTGCTTTACAATCAAACTCAAATGCTTTGCCATTTCCCGTGCTTCGTCATTCTTTCAAGCAGGAAGAGGCATTTAACTGATGTCGTCAATAGTTTCGGCACTATCATTGAATTTTGTACAATAGAAAAAAGTTGAGACTTTGGGCTGAGCACAAGCAAAAGAAATGGTAAGAATTTACAGTAAACAAGACTACACATCATATACAGGCATGCGCTCCTCAATCGGCATACGGCAGATAGGGCACTTTTTACACTTTTCCGAACAAGTACTGCACCACATGGCAAATAGGGAGGAAAGAGGGGGAAGGAAGAACATAAGGCACGGATTCTCATCAATAAATGCAAATGCCCATGCTCACAATAGAGAAAGAATACCTGCAGAGGATGCGATGTCTACATGGGAGCAAAACGACAACAATTTCTCTCTCGAAGCAAACCCTGCAAAGAACCTTCTCCTGATTGATGCACCACGCAAAGGGTAAGACCAGTAAGTTACACTCATGAAACTACATTGCATTCATAAAATCCACCATTTAGACACTAATACAATTAGAGATGCACGCATGAGATGTTTTTGTACTTCCGAGAAACGGAATCACATTAGAGTTTAGTGATGCGTAATAAATCCACGTAACAAACCCATGCACCATAATCCAGCTTTGGCAGGATCCAATTCCATAAACTAGAAATGTAGTAGATGGCTAACACACCATAGAGAAAACCCAGCCCTCCCAATCATCCTTGAAATACAGAAACTTCAAGACTAACCCACAAACATAGAGATTATAGAGCATACTCTATTCACCGGATTCTCTTCTTTTAACAACCAAGACCTGTGCATATCATATTTAATGCCAATGAAAATTATAAACTTGTATCAGTGCAGATATGATCTGTCTTCTCTAGAGAAGTTGGTAGATTTACTCCACAAGCAATACCCATGTATGCTAAATCCTCTCCCACACTTTACAGCATGACAAAACCTCATGTATGCTAAATCCTCTCCCACAGTTTACAGCATGACAAAACCTCCTTGACAAACACATTCTGATTTAGAAAAAGGGAAAACATTATCATTGGGACTAATCTTACAAAATCAATAAAAAAACTCAAAAGACCCTATTTACCACTGCAGGGCTTGCTTTTAACCGTTTATTTCATATAGATGCATCCTTTAAAAATTTGTTCAAAGATTCCCAAATTACCATTGTTAAGTGTTGGGAACCCTCAACAACCAAGGGTATTTGAAAATTTGACATAATTAAATGGCTTCCGCCAAATTACAAAAATAGCCCTGGTTTAAGATTAGGAATGTCGAACTATCAAATGATGAAAAAACCTCAATTTTGTATTGTTAAACCCTAAACAACTAGAAGTACCGGCCACTTGGCAGGTCCATTTTCACAACTCTGAACAATTAACAAATTGCCCCTGGTTATTTACATTGTGAACTCTGAACAAGGTTATTTTGGGAATTTTGAATACATTTTTTGAGGAAGTGCCTTTATAAATGAAACTTAAAAAATAGAGTGGTAGATGGCATCTTTTGAATTCTTTAAAGATTTTGTAAGATAACTTAAGCCATTTAATGATATATCCTCTTAAAAAATGATGTTATTGATGTAGGGAAAGCTTTACATGTGACCCCACACACATATAAGATAAATGTGACCCCTGCTCTCAACCACTCTCAGCCATCAGATCTTAGTAGATGGCTGGGATGGCTTGAGTCATAATGTCACAACTTAACTCTTGAGCGTTAAATCTTGATCTGACTGCTCAGAATGTTTTATTTTTAATTTTTATTATATAAATCATTTTGCATCGAAATTTGGGGCATGCATACATCTGACAGGAGCACACATGATAAAAATAATAAAAAAAATATTTCATGTGAAGGAAAACTACCAAATTAGCCCTGAAACCTTCAGAGGCATTTTTGCTATTTATTTTCATGAGAAATATTTTTTTTTATTTTTGCTATATGATGGGATGCCCCAAATTTCACTCAAAAACGTTTCGTAAAAATCAAAATCAAAATCAAACAGTATTTGGCATGACATTGTGACATAAACAATCCTAGCCGTCCATTCAGATCGAACGGTTGAGAAGTGGGGTCACATAATTTATATGCGGGTGGGTTCACATACAAAAACCCATTTTCGGCAATTACTGTAGAACTCTAGAGTTTTGTAAGAACTAGCAGCCGCATAAGAGAAATTGATTTTACATTCTGAAGTCTTTCGTACTCCTGCTGGCTATATTTCGTGATTTCGGCTTGCTCTCCCAAAGCTGCTTGTAATCTCCAAACCTAATTCATTAAATCATCATTAATAACAAGAAAGTCGCATGTGAAGTTAATGGACAAACTGGCATATAATGAAATTATGTTTATTCAGAAATAAAACAGGACATCTATGGGTAGTAAATTGATTAACAGGTGAAAACAGCAATAAACCACAAGCTGGGGCACAAAAGCGAAAACCATATAAACTGTAATTCATCGCACCTCCTCAGCAAGATCCTTCTTGGGCATTTTCTTGACCACCTCAGGAGAACAACACGAGAAAGTATTATACCTGCATAAAATAAACGACAAATGATATAGCTAGAACCAGTAGATAATCATGAGGCACATGAGGCTCTTACAAGCTGGAGTCATACAAACAGCACTCTTAAAAAAAGAGCATGGTCAATGATCAAAAAAACCATGAACATCAACAGGTTACTAAGATACACGAAAACAGGTGCCAACAAAAAAAAGCCATACATAGCCATTGTACCATCCATAGTGAGGTGCAGTTTATGAATCTAAAATCCAGGAAATCAGTACCAAACATAAGGTAGATGCGCATGAATTACAATATGGGGGACATCAGGCACAGGTAAAATAGCATGGGCAGCATATGCATGGCCATGTGCTAGAACGTATGCATGAACACAAACGTTTACTATCAAGTTTGTATGGTCTCAAATATCAATCTGATGATGGGAAACTCACTCCAGTGAGTCTAAAAGACTCCATATACGCACAGTGGTCCAGAAAAACGGACTCCAAATATAACTTTTTGACCACATTGCTTGCCAAGTCATTATCTGGATCACATTCCACCATATGTGAATGATCTATCAAGGAACTGGCTCAGATGAGTGAAAGATTTAAATCGAAAAGTAAAAGAATATTTTTATTCTCTAGGCCAGTTCGCTTGTGTAGGTCAGTTTGCTTGTGTCTTCGAGGACAAACTTCAAGGGTTGAACAGGGGGTGTCTATCACTTGGCTAGGCCTAGGTTAAAGAACAAATAAAGAATTATTGGCAGCAACCAAAAGGAAGAAAAAATAAGTCAAATTTAGATGAACTAAAATAAATTTGGAAGCAGAAAGGTTTTATGGACTTTTATGTCCTTGAAAGCTTTATTGGCGAAGTGTTAAACAGATTTCACAATATTTGAATTATAGGAAACATCGCATTTCCTCAGACAGCACATAGGATAATGTCAAGTCTGTTGTCCTAATCTTCATATCTTGTTCTATGATGTTGCATTTAACCCGCCTTCTTTCTCCTTCAAACACACATACAAAAATAACTCCATTTAGCGGATATCTCCTCATCAGCCTATAGAGTTCCATTTCTTATCAATATATGTAGAAGACACTTTCTTGATTGGTACGCCGAGAACATTGTTTTTCTTCCACACAGGATTTTGTTTTTTGGATGATGATGATATCTCCTACGGAAACTTCAATATAAGTGTATATATACGTATACAAATGCATGATCCACCACCAAAGTTCATGGGACTCTTGTGCCCAAAGCACTATTGACTTCTTTTTTATGTAGAAATTCTAAAAGACAGACTAACAAGCCCCATCATCAAGCTGTGTGCCACAATCTCAACAAAGATGCTTAAGCCATTGGTTTTAAGTCAACAACAAACACATTTATCATGTCGTTCCCCATGTAAGTCTTAGCTCTACTAAAAAATAAGCTGAGAGAGTTTGCAAAGAAGTGATGCCTTGAAAGAGTTTTTTCACCATTGACGAGTTGTGTTTCATAATGGCAGAAGGCTAAACTATGTAAGGCGCCGCATGACAAAATGATATGTGCAAAGCCCCACTTCAGAGCTGAGAGGATCACAGTTGCAAAAACCTTGTATTAGGGAATCATCCAACTCCTTTTGGAGAAATATCAGACTTCATAGAAAATCCAAGTGCTCACTAAGAGTTGACTACTATGTTTTACTGGATCCTAAACTGCTCCACATTTCCAATATATAAGAAATGTATAGATAATGGATATCCTTACTGGACCCCAAGACAGATGTCTCTGCTAAGTGGATGGAGGGAGGAGTTGCTCCTGGGAAGTTGGACAAAGGAAGTCAGATGGGAGACCTTTTCCTAAGCGCAATGCACAAGGACATGAAGGCAACCAGAGGGGCAACAATAACAATTGTGATGGAAATGATGATGATAATGACTAAAATTATGCAATGACATTGCATTCATATAGAAGACAATGTGGTGCATCAGGTGACCTTTTGCACGAGTAAATAACTGAAGCTTGGTTTACATGAACATCAATGCTCACAGGTTATCAGATAATCAAGATTTTATGGCATCTATGAGGCTTAATTAAATACTTGATTGCAGGCTAGTAGGCTACCATTTATCTATTACTTGCATGTTACCTCATTCAATATTTGTAATAGCCAGTAACATTAAACAATTCCTCTTTTTTCTTTTCATGAGTTCCAAGCCAGAGATGGATACGCAATGGAAATGCACCATGAAAAGAAAAAAAACTCAAGGAGTGCATTTGGCGAATATATCATATTGAATATCAAGTATTCAAACTATTCTTGTCACAGAGATATACCTTTCTAAGAGAGATGGACACTAAAAACCACAAGGTCCTGATTCTCGTTGGCAATTACTGGAAGACAGCATATAACTATGCATGCTATGTCTTACCATGAGATCCAGTCTCATTAAGTAACATTTTCAAATGAAGCTGCTCAACTTATTCCCTTGAGTATCAAGCAATACTACATCAACTAAGGCATTGTATGACTCACCCGACAGTCCCCGAGTGGTAAAGACGAGCCTGCTCTTCTCTACTGCTCTCATCAATCGACCACCAACCAAGAAGCCTGCAATTGATAAATTGAATAGGTACTCACCATAGGGCCTCTAATTAATAAAGCTAAATAGAGATATCAACATGAATGTGGTACAATGTCAATCGTGCACAACAGTGCTTAGGTGGAGCCCATATGCCTTACAGAATATGATGCAAAATAACCAGGAGATGTGGGTAACTCAGAAGTAATTCGATTATCAAAAACATTCAGGAGCAATTTACCTTGAACCATGATGCAAGAAACCAAAGCAATCTCGAACTCTTGAACATAATTCAAAGTATCTTTCAGTAGTAGTTCCATTTCGTAACAGAAGAAAAACCTTCTCCACCAATCTTGTTATAGCAAGCAAGACTCCAGCACCTTGTAAAATGAAAAGGGGCATGAAAAGTGCAGGGATTGGGATATGCTTTGCGGGTGGAGGTGTTCCCTAACACAAAAATAAACAGAGAAAAAATATTGAGTATTGAATTAAAATCACAGATACATGAGAATGAACAAATGCTCACCATAACCAACCTCTAAACGCATGCAAAGCAAAACCTGGAAAGCAATCACAGGAATCTTCATAATGTGACCACCAATATCCTGCAAACCACACATGCCCTCCTGATATTGATCCTCATCAGGTGAAACTACCAGACCACTGTTCCAATCCAAATATCTAATAGCTGTGGAAGAACTTTCTCCTCTATTGTTACTTTGCCTATGAATTGCAGGATTCGACCACTTTGTGCAGACAAGAAAAGCAAAGCACTCAGCAATCCTGAAACACAGCAATACCACAAGTGAATCATGTCATAAATTTTATCATGAATAACAATCGATGCTTTTCAGCTTTTTTAGTAAGCCAATTTACCCAAAATTTATAAATAGATCCCACCAGCCTAACGCAGCAACATCACCTGCATAGTTGTAGAAAGGAACAGTGAACGATGCATCACCATATGTATATACTAATTCAATACATAAACATACCAAATTCAGCTTTCTAAGGAAAATTTCCTTCACAAATATCAAGAAAAATCTTAACACCTTGCTTTGAATACTCAGAACTTTCATGGGGTAAGGAAACACAACTTCCCCAGATTCTCAATTTCTAATGCATGACTGCTATAAATTAAGGGCCCTACAAAACTTCTTGCAAATTACACACATGGTACATACCCATCACACACATCAAGGCTCCAACATCATACAATCATTAAGAAACACAGGCTTGCTGAATTATTATTACATCAAGTCATAGAAATGGAACAGCTGTTCAGCTAAGACTGCACTGCAGATTCCATATGCTCCCATTCATGAACAACAAAACCAAGGTTCTGAAGTGGAATTGCCACAATAGTGGGGAGGTTACAGTTTATGAAATGGATAGGGAGCAGTACACACAGCAAGGCTCGAACATCATGGCACATACCCATATCACACATCGAGGCTCAAACATCATACACTCATTAAGAAACACAAGCTTGCTGAATTATTATTACATCCATTCATAGAAATGGAACAGCCGTTCAGCTAAATCTGAACTGCGATTTCCATGTGCTTCCATTCATGAACCACAAAATCAAGGTTCTGAGGTGGAATTGCCATTCTAGCGGGGAGGTACCAGTTTATGAAATGGATAGGGAGCCAGTATCAGAAATTATATAATGTATTTCTCATACAAAAAATAATTAAACAATTTCCAGAACTTCTCTAATATGTCCTTTTAACTCGTGGAAGTGCCCGAGTTTATAAAACCTTGGCAACACAACCAAGTTTGACACAATCCAATTCATCATAAATCATATTTCAGTATTGTTTAAATCCTTGTTGAGGTTCTTCCCATAGCCGTTGGGATCGGGAGCGAGAACAGTACCAGGATCAGGATCGGGATCGGGAGTGAGGGATCGTGAAATGCTAGAAGATCCTTATGATTGGGAACGCCGTCCGTACAATGCACATGTTATGGATCGAGATTCCCAAATGTTAGGGATCGAGATTCCAACCTTTTGGGGATATTGATCCCGACCTTTTGGAATCTTGATCCCAACTTTTTGGGGATCTTGTTACGAACATGTATGATATTTAGGATTATGTATACTCTTTAAAGTAGGGATCTTAATATTGAATAGCAAGCAAGCAATAGTTGTGTTACTAGTGACCTATAAACAAAGAAAATATCAGTTTGGTTGTTGTTTTGGTCTTTAAGGTTGGGATCGAGATCCCTAACAGTAGGAATTGGGATCCCTATGAGTGGGGGTTCGATATCCCAAAATTTAAAAATCAAGATCCCTAAGAGATCCATTCCGAGAGTGACAGAATCGAGATCCTAGAAGGAATCGCCTACCAAAGTAGATCCTAGTAACCATGGTTCTTCCATAGTTCCATTATGGTGAAGCCTAACTACTTTTCCAAGCATCTTACTCATTCACCATTGCTTTGAGTGATTCGCCTACATCTTTACTCAACTAAAACTATCCGTGCAAATCTTTTGCAAAAAATTTGTCTCCTAAAAGGCAAGTAAATTTGGATAATGAACATTTATCTGCTTTTTTAGAATATTTTCCTTGCAACCCCTCTTAATGAAAGTTTTGTGGTGAATTTGTGTTCGGAGATCCAGATTTCCACTAGAGTAGAATCCTTCACGCAGTTCTTTGTTGAAGGGGTAGGATACTAACAATCACTTGTATCCTAGAGCTTTCTTTTTTTGGGTGATTCAGTGGGGAGAGGGCTCCTACCCTTGGTAGGAATTGAGCCTAGGACGTAGCGTTGCACATCGTCAAGTGCTAACCAATTAAGCCTGGGCTCTTTTCCTGTATCTTCGAGCTTTCCAGTTCCCAAACCTGCATATTAGACCCAGAAGTGAGGAGGAAACAGAGCACTACTTCACCCACCATGATTTCACTTTACAGGATTGGGATTTACATTTTCATTTGCTCGAAAGTACGAGGTTCCTACCCAGTGTATGAAAACTCAACTGAGTTGACTTGGACTCGACCGACTTACTCAGCCTCAGAACCCTACCAATGCAATTATATTGTACATACTCGTAGGATGATGGACCTATACAGTACTCAGGTGAGTACTGTACTAACTCCCCTAAGTACAATAAAACTCGGGCAGACTCACCTGATTTCTACAGTACTCGGCCGAGTTGCTACAATACACAATTACTTAATCAAAAAGTAAAATAATCAAAGGGGGACTCTCGGCAATGTGTTGCGCCTCAAGTCCCCACAACAGGCTTGCACAAGATAAGCAAACCTTTCTCTATCAGGTTTTTTATGTGGTTTCTTAGATTGAGTACATCTGTTATCTCTCCATTAATCTCAGTAACGGCAGCAAAGCACTCTTTTTACCTTCTCTCTATAAGAATCTCAGATTGAAGATAAGTTATTCTGCATCATCGTCCATTTTACACGGAAGTAGGGGTAGCAATGGGTCGGGTCTAACCGAACCTGGACCCAACCCGACTAAGTTTACATGGATCCAGACCCAACCTGGACCCGGGATCAGTCCAAGTGAATTGGACCCAGACACGAACCCGGACCCGACCTGGACCTAGTCCGGTGCAAGTCATTTGAACCCTGTCTCAGACCCGGGTCGGATCCAAGTCATTTGGACCCGGACCCAACCTAGAACCCAGTTTAGAAACTAAAAAATAAAAATTAAAAATTTAATTTACCGGATTGGGTCATCCCAGACCCGACCCGACTTGGACCCATACCCAACCCATCGGGTCCAAAACATATACCTGAACCTAGACCCAATTCAGGTCGACCTGCCTAGTCGGTAAGTCGACTCCACCCGTTTGCCACCCTTACATGGAAGTGGTGTGTGAAGAAGGGATGACCATAAAATCCTCTATCAAGAACAATGAGAAACCCATCGCCACTGTTGACAATGAAGAGGGCAGCAACAATGCTCCTACTCAGAGAAGGCCATGGATGTGTTATTTGAGCTCCAGCTTCATGACGATGCCTCACCCCAAATGCTCTAATCTCTCTCTCTCTC